AGTGGCTATTCACGGGTGTGATCATGGTGCACTGTAGCCTCAAACTTCTGTCCTCAGCCTCCTGAGAAGCTGGGACTGTAGGCATGTGACACCACGCCTGTGGGCTCACAGTGATTCTTTTAAAATTTCAACTTTGTCTCTCCTCTACTTAGAGCCCTTACCAAAGGCTTCCTAAGTGCCTGAAAGTCATATCAATTCCTCCATGATCTGGCCGTCTGCTTTCTCTGTGACCTTACCTCTTCTTGCTGCCTTTTGTTCATGCCAGGTAGACTCCTGCTGAGGACCTTGTTTATGCTGTTCTTTCTTCCAGGAACACTTTTCCCTTAGATACACACGTGGCCTGCTGCTTCACCTCCTTAAGGTCTTTGTCCAAGTGTCAGCTCAGTGAGGCCTTAATGGCTATCCTGTTTAAAATGACAGCATTCTTTTCTTACCCTACCCACTACCACCCTAGCAATTCCTGTCTGTTTTCTCTGTTTATTTTTTATTTTTTCACTTTTTTGAGACAGGGACTTACTATGTTACCCAGGCTGGTCTTGAACTCCTGAGTTTAAGTGAGCCTTCCACCTCAGCCTCTTTAGTAGCTAGGACTACAGGTATATGCCACTGTGCCTGGCCATTTCTTTGTTTGTATACCATATGTTTTACTAACTCATTTATTGTCTGTCACTTCTCATTATAATGTAAGTCAGATAAGGGAAATAATTTTTGACGGTCTCATTCACTGTTGTGTCCCACACACCTAGAACACTATCTGACATATTAAGCACTCGACTTACTTGCTGACTTGATTCTTCTTTTTTTCTTTTGAGTCAGAATTTCACTCTATTGCCCAGGCTGGAGTGCAGTGGCATGCTCACGGCCACCATAGCCTCAACCTGCTGGGCTCAGGTGATTCTTCTGCTTCTGCCTTCCAAGTAGCTGGAACTATAGGCATGCGCCACCATGCCTGGCTAATTATTTTATTTTATTTTGTTATGGAGATGAGGTCTCATCATGTTGCCCAGGCCAGTCTCTAACCCATAGGCTTAGGCAGTCCTCTCGCCTCTACTTCCCAAAGTACTGAGATTATAGGCATGAGCCACCACGTCTAGTGACTTGATTCTTTACTTGGGAGGCTAAGGACAGGAATCCTGAGGCTGTAGTGCACTATGATCACATAAATGATTCCAGAATTTATTCTACCTAAAATCCTCTATGCACCCTTTGTTCTAATCATCATCCACAATTAGTTGTCCAAACCTATTATGTTCTCTTCCTCCTCTGCGCCTTTGCACGTGTTATTCAACCTGTGGGGAATGGCTTTCTCTTTCTTGTTGGTTTGGCAGCTTCTACGCATCCTTCTAGATTAGTTCAAGTTGGACAGTCTTCCTAACCCCCAGTGTGAGGGAGATGTCCCCACCTTCTCATGAACTCTGTTGCACACTGCATCCCTTCACAGCACCTGCTGCTCTGTTTACTCTTTTGTTTCTCCTCCTCTAGACTGTGAAGTCTTTGAGAGCAGAAACTCCTAACTTTTGCAATATGTAGTGCAAGATAGACACTTAATAAGTAATTGTTAAATATGTGATTATATAACTATTACTGCCTTCACCTTGACTTTTCTAGCCACTTGGCTCACTGGCTCAGTGACCCTGCCTAGAAGATGGAGTCCTTAATCCTAGCTTCCTCCTTAGGGTGCTTTGTTGTGCTCAGGACTTCCTTTATGGGGCTAACGTTCTGTGACCACCCCACCTCCGGGCCTCTCTTCTCTCTATTCTGGTTGGGACAGCTAGCCCTGAAACTTTGACCAGGTTAGCTTATGCTCCAAACCTCTGAAACAGGCTGGAATCCTTGCCTCATAAGGTTATTATAAGGATTCAGTGAGGTGTTAGTAAGCAGTCACACGGTCTCTGGCATGCGATAAGCATTAGTGGTGTTGGTAGCAGTGGCTGTGATTGTTGTCATCACCATCCTCTCTGCAACCAAAAAATGCCCCCTGAAATTTTCTCACTTTTTTGTCTTGGTATTCAGGAGGGCCAGGAGAACGTCGAGATCCTCCCCTCTGGGGAACGACCGCAGGCCAATCAGAAGCGAATCACCACACCATACATGACCAAGTATGAGCGAGCCCGTGTGCTGGGCACCCGAGCTCTCCAGATCGCGTGAGTGATTGTCCCTGCACTATCTTCTCGGTTGGTCAGGCCATAGCAGGCTCCAAGCCACTGATGCTGCCTAGCCTGGCACCTGAAAACATTCTTCTTGCTCTCACATTTCAAACAAAGGTGGTGCTGTCCCTGTGTGCTAGACTTTGTGCTAGACCCCTGTCCCCAGGGAGCTTGTGATCTAATGGGAGAAATAGAACATGGACATCTGAGCAGTCAAATAACAAGACAGGAGAAAAATAATTTAAAAAACCCAGAAATTAGATGATTGCCTATCAGTTTAGTGAAGCAAAAAAAGTGTGATTTCAGAGCTCAAGACCCTTGTGCGCAGGTTAGTGAGGGATGACTTAAGGTAGGTGATTTTATTTTTTTTGAGTTGGGGGTATCTACTCACTCTCACCTAAGCTGGAGTGCAGTGGCTTACTGCAGCCTCGAACTCTGAGGCTCAAGTGTTCTTCCCACCTCAGCCTCCTTAGTAGCTGGACCTACAGGCACATGGCCCCATGCCTGGCTAAGTTAAACAAAAAAATTTTTGTTTTAGAGATGAGGTCTTGCTTTGTTGCCCAGGATGGTCTTGAACTTTGAGCCTCAAACAGTTCTCCTGCCTCAAACTCCCGAAAGGGATTATGGGGTTACCTGGAATTACAGGTGTGAGCCACTGTGCCTGGCCTTAAGGTGATTCTTTTTTATTTTTTTGAGTTGGAGTCTCACTCCGTTGCCCAGGCTGGAGTGCAGTGACACACTCATGGCCACCCCAGCATCAACCTGCTGGGCTCAGGCGATCCTTCCGCCTTAGCCTTCTAAGTAGCCGGAACTATAGTTGTGTGCTACCACACCCGGCTGATTTTTTTTTTTTTTTGAGTTGGAGTCTCACTCTGTCGCCCACACTGGAGTGCAGTGGCCGCTCCTGGCCACCCCAGCCTCGACCTGCTGGGCTCTGGCGATCCTTCTGCCTCAGCCTTACAAGTAGCCGGAACTACAGGCGCGCGCTACCACGCCCGGCTAAATTTGTTGTTGTTGTTGTTGTTGTTGAGATGAGGTCTCGCCAAGTTGCTCAGGCAGGTCTCGAACCCGCGGGCTCAGGCAATTCACTCACCTCGGCCTCCCAAAGCGCTGGGATTACAGACTGAGCCACCGAGCCCTATTTATTGCAGAGACAAGGGCTCGCCAAATTGCCTGGGCTGGTCTCGAACCTGTGGGCTCAGGCAATACATTCACCTCGGCCACCCAAAGTGCTGGGATTACAGGCTGAGCCACTAAGCCCAGCCAAGGTGATTCTTGATGCAGTGTAGACTGGCCAGCCCAGCAGAGTGGGGAGGGCCTTCTACCTTGAATGCATGCTACAGATATAAACACACAGAGCAGTGATGGGGTCCTGGGGATTCTAAAATTAGCAGCCTTTCCTTTCACTCCCAAGTTTGGAAGAGTAACGAGATTCTGGAGGTAGACAGTAGACACATGGAGAGCCAAGTGCCTGATGATTGTAAATTCACCTGGTTAACCACAGGCAGTGCAGGCCTCCAGATATTTGCTTTGCTGAGACTGTGGGTGTAGTAGAGAACGAACCAAAGTATCCTCTCTGCCAGTGGGTGGCTTTGAGAAAGCAGGGACTCTTAAGGAGCCTGGGTCACATATGCCTGCTTTTTTCCCCCAGGCTCACCTGTCAGATTCGTTACTCCTCCAGGAGGTGAGGGGCCAGAGAGAGAGCAGAGAGAGGGCAGAAGTGCTAGTGCTACTCTAATGGTAGTCCTCCAAGGGGAAACACGAGGCTGAGGGCAAGCGCTCCCACTCCAAGCTTCTGTAAGTTGGTGTGGGAAAAGTGAATATCTGGAGGAGGGGGCTGGTTCAAGTAGAGAATGGTGGAAATTAGGCTAGAAAGAAAAGCTGGAGCCAGATTTGTGAACTCTGCACACTGGAGGGGCAGCCACGCTGTCCGTGCATTCCCCTTCCTAGTGTTCAAACAGCATTGGGCTTTTATTTCCTTCAGTCCTCTGGATAAAGGTGACCCCGTGTTTACCTCGATAAAGGGTTTTCTGGATTCTCGCCTGTTCCTCAGCAGTAGACCTCTTAGCAACCTGGTTGTACTTCTTGCACTTTTCAGGGTGGAATTAGAGCCATACTGAGAATATTTTTTGGTACCACTGTGGTCAGGATCCATCAATTATGGTAGGCCTAGCTGCATGCAGCCATTTAAAGTAAGTAAAAGTAAATAAAATTAGAAATTGAGTCTTTTCTCACTAGCCACATTTCAAGTGCTCAGTAGCCACATGTAGCTAGTGGTTACCATAAGAATAGCACAGGTTCAGGACACTTCAGTCTCTGGAGAGCATTCTATGGGAAATGCTCATCTGAAGGCTACAAATGACCAGCAGGAAGAAGTTATTTTTCCTCTTCTTTCTTTCATTTTTTTTTTTTTTTTGAGTTGGAGTCTCACTCCATCACCCAGGCTGAAGTGCAGTAGCACACTCACAGCTTTCTTTCATTTTTTTTTTTTTTTTTTTTTGAGTTGGAGTCTCACTCCATCACCCAGGCTGAAGTGCAGTAGCACACTCACAGCCACAGCAACCTCGACTTGCTGGGCTCAGGTGATCCTTCTGCCTCAGCCTTCCAAGTCGCTGGAACTACAGTCATGCATTACCACGCCCGGCTTATTTTTTGATTTATTGTAGAGACGAGGTCTCACCAAGTTGCCCAGGCTGGTCTCGAACCCCTGAGCTCAGACAGTCCTCTCGCCTCAGCCTCCCAAAATGCTAGGATTACAGGCTTGAGCCACCGCACCTGGCCAGAAGTTATTTTTCAAACAAATAGACTGCTTATATGCAAGTTAACGGTCTTTCAGCACTGAGTTGAGATACCATGCTAGCACCTGTTGGGGATGCAAAGATGATGAAAGACATAGTCCCCAGTCTTCCTGGCATTTCTGGTGGGGGGAGATGGACCTGTGCAGATACCCAGAACCCGAGGCAGACACAAGTGGTGCTTTATGAAAGGCACTAAAAAGGAAAGGGGTCATTGCAGGGTGACGGGAAAGCCTCATGAAGGGATTAGAATTCCAGTGGGGACAGATAAAGGGAGGTGGTTTTGTAGGTATCCCAGGTGCTGGACACAGCACAAGGAGAGGTCCAGGTGGAGGCAGACAGGTGTGGATTGTGGTGGAGGAGTGCAAGTAGCTTGGGGCATAAGGCCGGAAAATATATCACTAGTGCCTTGAGTGACAAGTTGAGAAGATTGGAGTTCATTTGGTGGGCAGAGTGGAGCACTTAAAGGCTTTGAGGCCAACATCCTCGCAAGTTCAAGTATCCTGTTTTTCTTGGGGAGGGAGCTTTGGTCCAATTTACTAGTCTGTAGTACTCCTTCCGATTAAGGGATATGGTGCCATCTGGTGGTTTCCTTCCTACTGAACGCCCTAGGACAGCCTCTCTGCCTAAGCCAGTCTGCCTATGCACTAGGCTTGCAAGCCTGCACTTGGTAGATGAACAACCATTTCTTGGATAGGTTTTGAAGGAAGTTTCAGTGTCATTCATTAGCACCACCTGGTGGCTGATGTTGTCTGTCACATCTACATCCTAACCCGATGGTTTATTTGTAGAGGCCATTACTTAAGGGCACACTTTTGCACTTATATGTCACATGCACATAGAAGGTTTTGGATAAATGAATGCCCTTGAATTATTCTTATATTAAAAGAAAGAAGGCATATGCAGATCTGGAAAAATATTTTGCCACATTTTTTAAAGCTTTATATTTTGGAAGTTTTAAATACTTATTGAGAAAGGATATAGGGAAAGTTAAACACTCAGTCTCTGCCCTTGGAAAAATTTCAGGCCTTTGGGAGTAATAGAAATCAAAATATTTGGTAATAAGATTAATAGACTGATAAGCTCTTAGACTGACTGATTATCAGAATCGTCTGGACAGCTTTGCAAATGCAGGTTCTCAGGCCCCTTCACCGGAGATTCTATTCAGAAGATCTGGAGAAGGACTCAGGAATCTAGTTTTAGCAAGCTCTCCTAGTAATTCTGGACCCATTAGTGTGAACTTAAGATGGAATAATTAAGGGTGACTTCCTAGAGGAGGTGGGCCTAGAATTGACATCCCTTGTTTGTTTGTGGAACTTTTGGCTAGGGGCTGCACCCCATGGTAAATCACATATGGTCCTGGGCCACCAGGAGTTCATGGTCTAACATGAAAAACCTCCAAACAAATAGTTACAGAACAGTGAGATGAGTGCCAAGAAAAGCATAGGTGAAATGAGTCGGAGTACTGAAGATTCAGCATATGATTTCCAGGTTGAGACATTCGAGTTTCCCAGGCTTGTAGGAAGAGGAAGAGCTTGTAAGAGCACACCAAAGGGAAACAATGTGGTATGTCTAGGGAACCATAAATAGCTTGGTATGGCTGGAATTTGGGGCAAATAGTAGCATGAGACGGTGCTAGGAAGGCAAACAGGGCCCAGACTAGCTTCTGGCCTGATAACCATGGGGAGTCATGGAATGGGTATAAGCGAATGAGCACCCTGACTGCCAGCCCACAGGGGGAGGGGACTGGGCTGGAAGGCCAGGATCTCTGCAGGAGTGTTGCTGTGATAGAGAAGAATAAGGTGAGCAGGGCACAGAGGCAGGGTTCTTAGGGTTGGAATGGTCAGAATGGTGTGCCTTTCATACACACTGTGCTTTTTGCTGGGATTCACTGCCATGGCCACTGGGCCCAGGAGTCTGCAGTAGGCCCTTGGCAAGGTCTCTGGCAGGGCACCTGCATACAGCTCCCTACCATACCTGGTTACCTGTCAGGTGACCTTTCTAGGTGAGGACCAGTGTTTGAAGTCTCCCCACCGCCTGTCCCTGTCCCTACAGGATGTGTGCCCCTGTGATGGTGGAGCTGGAAGGGGAGACAGATCCTTTGCTCATCGCCATGAAGGAACTCAAGTAAGTCACCCAGATCATAGTTCGCTCCTCCAGAGCCCTGGGAGGCATCTCTTGGGCTCTCTGTTGTACCTTCCACCCCACTTTCCTAGCTGGGGAATTGCTGCTTATTCCTAAAGATCCTTAGGAACAGCCCACCAGGAGGGAGGAGGGAGAGGGAAGAGGAGTCAGGCAAAGGGGGAGGGCATTGATGAAACATGGACCTCTCCTGGCTGTCGGCAGCTCCTTGTTCCTGCCGCAGAAGGCCTCACCGATATCCCACCAGGCTTTCCCCTCTTCCTTGATGCAGAGACTTTCTTTTTCTTGTGACTTTGCTGCAAAGTAGGATTATCAGTCCCTAAGAGGCTGCTCCTAAGACTTCTCTCTCCCTGCATTGCACACACAGTCTGTTCCTTCTGCCACAGAGCTGGGGTCACCAGCCCTCACGCACTTGTGACTTCTCCCCTGCCACAGGGCCCGAAAGATCCCCATCATCATTCGCCGCTACCTGCCTGACGGGAGCTATGAAGACTGGGGCGTAGACGAGCTCATCATCACCGACTGAGCTGGAGCCATCTTGCCGACCTTGCCCCTTGCTCAATTTTTATTCTCACTTTCTATGTGTAAATAATAAAATATTTAACCTTCCAACCCCCTTCACCTCCAGCTATCTGTGATACCCCCAACTGCTCCTTCCTGCTACTGTCCTACTGCCTGTAGCATGCACCTATCCTGGTGGCCCTGACTGTCAGCTCTTTAAAAACACCAGGGGCCCTTAGCCCCAGTGGATCCCCCGCATCCCTCCCTCCATCTCCCTGTTCATCAGAGCAAAGGCTGCTGCAGGGGAGACACCTCAGCTGCCTTCCCAGCAGACAGACGAGTCTTTGTGCCTAGGGAGCTGGTTGCCACGGAAACCCCCAATTTCCTTTCCAGTGGGGACTGGCTGCAGGGGCTTCTCCCTTCTCAGGAGTATCACAGAGCAGGTCTCATCAAGCCACCCATTGTTTCCTAAGGACCTGCTTCGAGCCTCTTATCATGGGCTCGGATCCCCTTTCAGGAGTAGTGCCCTAGCAGGAAGCGTGGGGGTGCAGCAGTGACCTCCCACCCTTCCCAGGCAGGGCCCTGCTGGGCACGTCAGCAGCTGGAGCAAGGACACGGCACCTGCCCACCCCTACCCCTGCTGCTGTGTCCCCACTCTTCCTCAAACCACTGCCCACACACTGTCCTCCGTGGCCCTCCTCTCTGGCTTGCCACACCCATCTTCCCTGCCCCTTCTGTGTGGGCCTGTGGTCCCCGGAGGCCTTGGCAGGGATGGGTACTAGGATGGCAGTGCTCCTGGGTTCAAGGTGTTCCATTAAGTCAGAGTGGAGTTTCCCCCTTCCTCTGCCTTAGGTTCTCATGGGTCCTTCTCCACCTGCTTACTAAGACCGGTTGCGTTGGCTCCTCCCTCTTTTAGAGGACAGGAGAGGGTGTGTATCAACACCAACAAGGATAGAAGGGAAAATTGGGTCCCTGAATATTCCACCCTTGGCCTCCATTCCGCTGCCAGCTCCCCTTCCAGAAGGAGGAGCCAGGCTTGCCTAGCCTCTGCAAGAGGCAGGTTCCCCGGGGATGGGTGAACCCTGGACAGGGTGGAAATGATGGGATGAGCATCCACAAGGGTGGGAGGGGTGTTTGCTTCTCTGGAGAAGGGTTAATTCAGGGAGCAGTGGACTTCGCACCCCCTTTCACCCTCCTCCAAGCCTGTGGAATCCTTTAATCAAGTTGGGTGCTGAAATTTCAGCTCTGAAATGCCGCCTTTGTGCTGGCATCCAGGCAGCCGCCCCAGAGTGCGGGGGTCACTTTCTCGGCCCCATTTCTCTAAATGGTCTCTTTGTTCCCCACTGGGCTGCTCAGTATCAGATGTGATTAAAGGGAGATGGCGTTTGGGGGGGTGAGAGTGGGGGGTTAACCCTTAGGGGATAGGGTGTAAGGAAATGGGGCAGAAGGGGTGTTTTCCTCCCGTCTCCGCCTTTCCATCCTGCTCTTCTTTCAGGGAGTCTCTTGCTGTTCAGCTGACCAGGCCTGGGTTTTGACTTCTCTTGACTGAAAAATCACCTGTCACCACTACTGGTTCTATATTTTCTTAGGGCTTGGTGTAGTCTCTTCCAGAAACACCTGGCCGCTTCTCTTTTTGTCATTAGAGCTACTACCTTACTGAGACACAAGCATATCTGGAACATTTGGTCCCAGGGATGCATGCTATTGAGATCTGACTCCTCTGGAGCCATTTGTCCTCTCCTGGGGTCATTTCCCCTCCTCCCATATCCTCGGTTGCTCCAGTTGGTTTCATGAGGTGCAGGGTCCTGGAGGTGGTGGTGAAGTGTGCATTTCATGGTGATGTAATTAGATCCATAGCTGATTAGACAGCTTCTCTAAGAATGGCGGTAACAGAATTGACGATGGAGAGAGGTATTTAGTGGTGTACGCAGGTGTCCTCTTCATCTCGACCTTTATTAGTGACTTGAATGGGAATATTCAGGTTTGCAGATACATAAAGCTCCAAAGGAGTGCTAAGTTCCAGAAGATTTAATATAGGTGGGGAAGTGGGTCAAATCCAACAAAATGAAATCTGTTAAAGGTCAATGTAAAACCCTCCTTTTATCTACAACAAGCAAAAATACCAAAAACAGCTGATAAACACTCAAGATGATCTGACTTTGCAAGGGATGTTGTCTAAAAGAGCAGAGATTCCAATTACCACCAGGCTTCACTGGGAACAGCAGTTTTGAGGTTTCCTGAAGAGCTTGCATGGTACAGCTTCTAGACGGAGGGAGATTGGCCACCCTGGGAGGCTGGGCTAGTTCTTGATGCTCTGCCCCAGGTTCTGACTAGGGGGGAAGAGGCTGGGAGGTGCCCAGTGTGGGCAGCGGAAGACCCATGGCTCCAGATGTGAAGTGGAAGTAGGGCCTGTAAACCAGGGTCAGGTGGAGGGGATGGTGGCTAAGAGAGCAAGCTCCAGATTCAGAGCTCCGTTCAGATTCTGGCACCAGCACTTCTTAGTATCAGCCTCTCAAAGCTCTGTTTCCTCAATTGGGAAAGGAAAATAATGATCAGACCAACTCCCTCACTGACCTGAAGGACATAAAACCCTTGGCAAAGCTCTTGACCAGGGAGCACTGAGTGAATGGTGGCTCTTCCTGTCATTATGAGCTGAGTGTAGGAAGTACTTCAGCGGAGCTGTTCATCAGTGGAGCAAGAGGGCAGCGACATAGCTCCTGTCTCTGTAGTTGTGTGCTGGTGAGGTGGAGTGGTCCTAGCCCGAGTACAGGTTGGACTTCTGCTGAGAAGAGAGCTCTTAGGGAGTAAGCACTTAGGGATTCGATTGCATGTCTAACATCCTTGGTTTAGACTTGGACACATTGGCTTGGCTAGAACCCAGTGTGGGCCAATGTGTGCTGGGGGAGGTGGTAGGTGGAAGGGTGTTCCAATACAGGGCCCATCCACACAACCTATAGGACAGACCTGACTGCAGACAAGGTGTCAGACACCTACCTACTCCCTTTCGAATACCTGGCCCTTGAATTCTTTGCAGATTCCTCTCTGCTGGGTGCTGAGTGAGCAGAGGTGCTGCTTGGAAGACAGTGAGTTCCAGCTGGGCCAGTTAAGAGTGGGTGCCCCCTACAGCATGGGACACAGCTGGGCTGGGGGAAAGGCTCCCATCTGAGGCTTCAGTCCCTGAACTCAGACTGACCCACTGGAATGCCAGCTGTCCTAACCCACTCCATTGTCTCCACTTTCTTAGGGGAGCAGGCGGGAGAGAAACCTTTGATGATCTGTCCTTTGCATTCTACTCCTAGCTACTTCCAGAAAATGGTTGAGGAAGCACAGGTATGGGGGTAAGAGACCAAGAGACAGGCCAGGTCAGGCCCACCAAGTAGGTAACCGGAACCTTTAATTTTATTATGTGGAATGCTTAATGCAGAGTTAATAGGGGCTAGGGTGGCTGGGACAGGGGGTAGGGAGAGGGGACTACTGAGATAAATAAGAGGGGACAGTAATGAGTTACATGTGGATTGTGGGGGCTGCAGAACAGGAAGATAGGGGCAGATAGAGCTACATACTTTATTCAGATACCACTGGGAGGCAAAGGGTGAAAGGCGAGGGCAGAATGTACAAGGCAGGATTTTAGTGTCTTCAGCCTGCTGCCAGCAACCTGGGTGCTGCGCCTGTGTCTCCTGGATCCAAGGGTCTGGGCCTGAGCAGCTATAACTCTCTGGGATGTCCAGGGATGTGGGGCTGACTGAGCAGGGGCCATGGAGTCTAGTGAGGGAAGAGGGAGTTGGCAAGGAGTTCAGGGAGGAAGGCTCCACGACTTGTCTCAGGGTCCTTTCCTGGAGCCCCAGCCTCCTCGCCTCCTGGGATGTGCCTCAAGGTCGGGCGGTGTAGTGGAGGAGGGCTGGGGCTCTCTTCTGGATTAGACAAAGAATGAGGTTATTGGCACGGAATTGGACCTGGGGCCTCTGTGCCAACTCCTTGCCTTCAGGAGGGGAGGGGGCACTGAAGGGATGAGAACGCTCACTGAGCCCCCCACCGCACCTCCACTCCCCACCAGGCTCTTCAAAGCTGTCCTCAGCCTCTGACTGGCAGACATAGCTCCAGGCACTGACACAGGTCTCTGGGTGGCCTGGCTCTTAGGCACTGTGGCACGGGTGGCATGGGCATGTCAGACCTTCACTCTCCATGAGAGAGGAGACAGGACGCAGAGTGGTGGCAAGGCCTCTGATGCTCATCCAGCCTGGGGTACTTCCCCCTCCCCGAGGAAAGTGAGTGGGTCCTTCTCAGGTCCTGGGATAGAGGGGCGTCCTGGGGGGAAGGTGCAGCCCCTCATCTTTCAGTCTAGGGGCAAAGGCAGCCTCCTTCTCCCCTGCCCAGCCTGTTTGCCCAAGGGCTTTGCCGCTGGGACCTGGATGGGGCAGGTGGGTCATCAGGGCAGTGAGCCAGACAGAAAGCCTCCCCCAGCTGTCAGCCTCTGCAGCCTCCTCCACTGCCACTACCAGGCCCGAGATCGGCGAGGAGCAGGGCACACAGACTGGGGGAGGGGCCAGTGAGGGGTGGTGGGAACAGGCCCCCTTTAAGGCCTGGACAGTGTCGTATATACTGGCTGCTCCCAGTGTGTGGGGCTGTGGGACTGGGGCCCTGAGGGACTGGGATCAGAGATGGCGGGGTAGAGAGGCCGCTGTGAGGGCCCCATATAGGAGAAGGCTGAGTAGAGGCCAGAGGCCTGGCCCGAGTGGCCATAATAGGGTCCTGAGGGCTGATGGTCAGAGTAGTCAAACTGGGGGCGGGAGATGGAGGGGAAGGCCGAGCCGTAGTGGGGCAGGCTGAGGGAGGTGTAGGCGATCTGCGAGGTGGACGGCTGGTCGGTGTAGTGTGGGGGCCCCTGGGGCCCCGCGGTCTCCGTCTTCACCTGGGCTTTGGCATCCACACCAGGAGGCGAGACCGTGGGCAGAGCCACGCCTGGTGGCTTGGAGATCCAGGCGGAGTGTCCACTGGCCACGGCAAGGGCGCTGCTCAGCCCATAGCCAGCTGCTGAATAGCTGCCCACGTGGCCCGGGTGCCCGTTGGGTGGCAGGTATTGGTCCAACTCAGCCACATCAAAGGTCTCCATGTTGGACATTACCTCGTGGCTGATCTCACCGATGTCCACATTGCCGAAGTCGATGTGAGGCTTCCCGCCCTCCCCCATGGAGCGCCCGTCCCGCTTGGGGTCTGCCTTGCCTGACTGCAGCTCTGTCTTTGGGGTAGTTGGTGGGGTGGGTGGGCCATGGCTCTGGCCTGGGTGGAAAGGAGACACAGAAAGAGAGCACGGGGGAGGCAAGGTCAGAGGCAGGTGGGCACAAGTAGACTGAGGCTTCACCTGCAGGCAGCAGATGCCTCCAGGAAGCTGAGGTTTCATCACCATGCCAGCCTCGTAAGTTTCACATATTTTGGCAGCATGAGTCTCATTTGTTTATGTACTCGTCTTGGACTGGTCTCCAGTGTTTACAAGATTCTCAAATATTAGGGATGGCTCCTGCCTCCCACCCCCTGTCACCTGCCTCCTGAAGAAACCTGTCTCATTTTGAAAAACCTTTCCTTTTGGGAGGCTTCCCTGCTGCTCTGCCTCCCTTCTCCTGTTATCCCTTAGGGGCTGACCCCCGGTGGTCTGGCCCACGGGATCTGCACTCTGCCCACTCTACCCACTCTCTTCTGGTGCCTCTGCTGGCTACCATCGTTGCTGAGCCTCTCTCACCCTTATCACTCTTGGTTCTCACTTTTGTCTGTCCCTACTCCTGGCCCTGGTCCCCAAAGAGTGGCATGTCCCCTCCAGCCCTCCTCCCAAGCCTGCCTTGCTGCCCAGGGCACTGCCTCGCGCATGCCTGCCTGTGTTGCCCTGTTGACCCTTGAGCTGCTTTCCCTCCTTGTTCATGAGGGCCCTTCGCAAACTGGACCTTGTTCCTTTGTTTGCTTTTTCATTTACATATTCATTCAGCAAGCACTTAGGGGCATTGCTAAGTGCCAGGCATGGTGCCAGGTGCTGGGGATACAAATGTAAATTTAAAAGGTCCTTATCCCCAAATGCTCATAGCCTAGAGGAAGATCCAGAAAACCCACACATCCCTCAGTCAAAAGTGCTGTGATGATGGGATATTCAATGGGACGTGAGAGACCAGAGGAGGAAGCCACCTACAGCCCTGGGGGTTTGAGGAGGGTCTCATCAGGGAAGGGTGTCTGAACTAGACCTTGAAGGGTAGGAAAAAGTCCATGCCCACACTTTCATTCTGAATTTGTTCTGTGTGTGGTCCAGGGTCTTCTGGGAGTGTGTGTGTGTGCACATGTGTGTATGTCTCCCTGAATCTTTGAAGGTGAAGAGTGTGTGTGAGGGCTGACTGACTGGGCATTCTGTTGGAGAGAGAACATATCCATAGTCTTATGGGACAAGGTGCTCATCCAGGTAATGCTGAGTACTGTACTGGCCAAGGGCTCTGTACTTTAAGAGACCTGCCTGGTATTTGAATTCTGGTTCTGTCACTGGACAAATTCCCAGTCTTCTCAGTAAAACAGAGATACTAGCAGGCAGCTTGGACATGGCTTCTTTCTGAAAGCCTTCCTTGCCTAGAGTCTGGTGGGTAGCTGAATATTTTGGAGACCTGACTGGATGGGTGGATGGGTGGATTACTCCTTTCCAGAGGCCAGGCCATCTCTGGATCTCACATCAGCTTCTTGTGCATTTGTTTCTTCCTATACTTTTTTTTCTTTAAATTTAAGAGATGCGGTCTTGCTATGTTAACCAGGCTGATCTCAAACTCCTGGGCTAAAGCAATTCTGCCTCAGCTTCCTGAATAGCTGGAACTACAGCCGTGTGTCACCATGCCCACCATTCATTTGTTTTTATCCCTGCTCCTCCCTGTAGACTGTGGGCCCCTGAGGCTAGGGACTGTGGGTTTCTCTGGTATTCCTGGTGTCTACTCCAGTGCCTGGCACAAAGTGGGACTCAGAGCCTGTCTTCTGAAGGCAGAGCTCTGCTCACTGAGTATTTCCCATGTGCCAGACCTGTGTGTGTCACTTGCTGTACATTAGGGACACAGGCGAGGCATCTGAACTGTCAAGCAGAGGCTCTGCAGCCAAATTGCTTGGGCTCAGATCTTCTTATCGGTAACTTGCGGCACCAGAGTCCCCATAGAGCTCCTAGCTGTAACAGCTAAGAGATGAGCCCAAGCAGTTTGGCTACCTCATCACACTATAATGATTGAATGAGTTAATCAAGAGCAATCAGCGTAGTGCCTGCACATAGTGCTCAGTGTTAGCTATTATCATTAATGCGAATTAAACAAGGTATCATGCCTGGCCCATCCATGGTGTGCACTCAGCATCACATGCTGTGTTTTCCCTGGCAGAACGGGAGGTCGGCAGGAGGCAATGATTTCCTTTCCCCATCTTATCTTGTTTCTCAAAATCATCCTGCCCTACCCCACTTCCTTGTAACTGCCCTAGCCACTTCTCAGCCCACTGCCTCCACAGCCTCCTTAACTGTCCCTCTTTGCCCAGCAGCAAAGCCCCCTTGGATCAGCCCTGGCCAGAGCCACCCTACCCAACCACCTCCCCTGGCACCAGAGTGCCCATAGAGCTCCCTGGGTCCCTGCACCAAGGCAGCTGCCTGGCATGCCCTTCCAGAGCCCAGGGTTGCTGGGGAGGAGGATCTCACCCATCCAGCCTTTCCCTCTTTCCACTGCCCAGACTTGCCCCGCCCCCC